TCGATTATTACAGAGCCAAAATCAACAGAACCCAAAAACTCTCTGTTTTAATCGATTAACTGGCCTGTTAATCGATTAACAGGTGTGTTAATCGATTATTACAGTGAACAGATACAGAAAATGGTTTTTCTCACTGTAATAATCGATTATCTGATGATTTAATCGATTAAACCCGAGGCTTTTTGATAAATATGAGTTTTTGAAGCTTCTAAAGAGTAGATTATGTATCGGCTATCTTAGACTCTAATATTACAGACTCAAACTCATCCAAACAGAGTTATTACACAACAATACAAGTCTTCAACACTCTAAGTTCTTTGTTCTTGAATTATCATCAAAATCAACAAGCTTCATGTCCATGTAAGTTCAACATCAAGTCCTTGTATGTTCAACAATCTCCCCCTTTTTGATGATGATCTAAATTTTCTTTTAAAGCCTTGTAATAACCTGTTTTATCTGTCACACTAACAAACACATTCAACATACCAGATAATATTTAAATTCAATCATAAGAGGCTTTAAATATTTCTCCCCCTAATTTGATTATGATAAAAAAGAAAGAGCTCCCCCTCAACATATGCATAACTTGGAGATAACTTCCCCTCAAACAAAGCAATAAAAGAATACCACATTTTATTTCAAAAATGAAAATACATTACAACACAAGAGAAAACAAACTTTAAAATTCTTCACTATCACTATGAAAGTGTGCATCAAATTTATTTTCTAAATGACACACTTTATCATCTACATCAAAGATACGAAGAATTATTTCCTCATGTCGTACTCCAGAAAGAGTTCCTGCACTTTGGATCTGATCAGAGGGAAACTCAGCAGCAGGGGGCATATCTTCATCAGAATCTTCATTATCTTCATCTTCGTTTTGAACGTCATCCTTGTGAACATAAATATTGTTGACACGCACCATTTGGAGTTGAGTTAATGTGCTGTCCAACATGCGATTTAAGTTAGTCGTTCGTATTGTTTGTTCACCTTCGACATTTACTCATTTGTATTCAAGAATGCGAGAGATAAGGAGGGCATATGGAATTTTGAAGGTGGGATGGAGTTTAACTTTTAACATAGTCATGGTGACAAGAATACCCCAATCTAAAGGCTCATTATGCATTATTGCATGAATAATGCGAAGATCGATTGAAGAACATTGAGCATGATTCGTAGCCTGGGGACATAGGATCCAAAAAAGTAAATGCAAAATCATGCGTTCCTCCTTCTTCAATGGTCCAGCTAGAAGGAGACGCCCAATTTCTATGGAAGGGTTTCACAGAAAAGAACGGTAAGCCATGATCCTGTCAAAATCATCTAACTCACCAAACACGTTAATAACATCTTCTCTTATAGGAAAATGGGCAACGTTTTCCCAAATATCGTCATCAAGAATAATTGTTAACCCCTTTACACGAGAGGTAGCTATTTGATCTCTGAATTTGAACCTAGAGAAAAATACCCTAACTAAGTCGGGATAATACGTACCTTGCATTTGGATGAAAGGGAGAACTCC